ATACAATCATCTCTCCCAAATTCCTATTTCTCACTAGCAATTGCCTCAGCAGTCCCCTGCCATCCAGGCAACTGCCAAGCCAACTGCTCACTGTTTAAAGTCCAAACTTCATCCATCATAGAGAGTTGTTATACACTATTTATCTAAGAGGTTAAAGACTTCCGTTGTGCATCTATAAATCTCCCAAAAGATTGTAGATCAACTCATCTAGAAGGAAAAAGTTTTCAAAGTCGAAAAAGGTTTGAAAGTCTATTCACCCCCCCTCTCTAGACTTTTACCTTACTTGGGACCATCAATAGGTGTGTACAAAAGCGTTTTCGATTTATGTCTTTCGTACCCTCCATCTCTCCCACGTCTAATTTAAATCTTGTTTTGGTCTCAATCGAATACTTCTACGCTTGTTTATTTAATTGCTCTTCTGCTGTGGTTTATTGGAAATCCTTTAGCAATTAACATCTGCAAATACTCCGGGTATGTATTTTGGACAGACAACTAATGTCTTTGCACATGCACTGGTTTGAATTTATTAATTTATAGATCTTGAAATTTATTTTGTTTTCAATTTATATTTTTCTTATAGATAGTCTGTATCAATATTTAGGACAACACGAGCAACAACTCCAATGATTATTCATTTCCAATTTCCCAGCGAATTTCTGGATACTCTGAAACTCCGATTACTTTTCTGGTCTTGAAAGATAATAAGGGTAAAGATAAAGAAGATGAAAGTATAAGGATAAAGATGGAGGATGCTTATTATATTAACAAAACTGCTTGATGTACACACCTTATACACACCATGTTTGTGAAGCTTTTTTGTCTGTGAATCCGGTTCACAGACAATATTTCGTTTGTGCAAAACATTGTCTGTGAGTCGATGTTCACAGACAAAAAAAACTTTTCACAAACATAGGTGTGTACAAAAGTGTGTATAAGAGTGTGTACAAAAGGCTTTTTTGTTATATTAAAGATGGAAATGAGTTGATGAGATGAAGAGGAAAACTGAATGAGGGAGAGAAGAAAGGTGTGGTGGAGGAGAAGTGAGGGGAGAGAAATGTGGAAAGAGTGAGATGTGAGAAGAGATGTTGGGAGAAGGGTAAAAAATAAGAAGAAAAAATTGGACTTGTATATAGCGTGCACACCTATGTGTACAAATAGCAAAATTCAAAATCACACGGGTAGCTCAATTGGATCAAGGGACCAAGGTTTGAATCCCGCAACGACCGTGTGAAGGTTATAGCCTCTGAAATGGGCTGAACCTCTGGCGCGCATGAGTATATGAGCCTACTGTCACTTCGCTGACTGAGTCCCCGTGATTTACATCCTACACGTGCCATGTCGGATCGGGATGTGGGGGTGCGGGGGGTGCGGGGTGGAAGATTCCACCTTTTGGATCGAGCAAAATTCAACCCTTCGGTCCATGCTACGGCTCTAGCTCGATACCAACATACCTAGCGTCTTTTTGCTGAGCATATCTATTACATTAATGGACCAAATTCCAACATTATATTAACTACAAATCTACAATAATGAAATATAGCGATGAAAATTATTCCTCTTGTACCCGGGGTGGAGACAAGGGGTGGAGGACCCCTCCCATGAAAAAAATTGTGATGTATATATACACATGTATAAATATTTATAAGCACAAAAAAATATAGTGAAATTTTAAATTTTGGTCACTTCAACATAAATCTCTCAAGTCCCAACCCCTCTAATCTGTCATTCTTGGCCCGCCACTGTCTTTTACTAAATGATACTCCCTCCGTCCCAGAATTTACTTCCATAGTACAAATGGCACACTGATTAAGAAAATGGAAATTGTGTGGTGAAGAGTTGTGTAGAGGAGAGAGAAATGTGTAAGAATGTGTAAGAATTGCTATGAAACACAAATTCTTTGTCAAAAAGGGAAAGAGAAGTTCTTTTTGAGACATACGAAAAGGAAAAGTTGGAAGTAATTATGAGACGAAGGGAGTAATAAAATGTGGCAAGTTGACATGCTAATACTTGCTATTTAGATTTGTTACATGTTGGAGTTTTGTTCATGCTACTCCATCCTTGAATGTTGTTTGACGTTCCTAGAGTTCAATAGAATTAGATCTTAGTTTAGAGTGCATTATTTTGACAACCTTTAACACTTTTCGATATTGAACAATAATTATACACTTTTCGATATTGAATAATAATTATTAATAATTATTAATTGAGAGTAAAACAATAAATTAATAAGACTTTAATTTATAAGGAAAGAACTTTCTAACAAATAAGGAAAGAACTTTACTCATGTCCTAAAATGGCATACAAGATCTTTAAGATGGACAGGACAATTTTTTATACATTATTAAAAATAAGGGCAATTTGGTGATTTAATCCATAAATCTATCATATTATTGATTTTTATAAAAACTAATTAAAGGACTCGAACTTCAAACTTTGACAATTGCACGCCCAATGGATTCATTAATACACATTTAAGAAGAAAATATTATTTCAATTTCATTTTTTTATCGCTTTCTAGTTTACGTTGAGAAACTTGTATTGTTTATTAATTTTTTTATTTAAAACTTATTTCTATATATACTAATATACTAATTTGTTTTACTTGTGGTAAAATTAGTATTACTTAAAGTTAATCAAATTACAGAGCATAACATATGAAAATAATACTACCTAACATGAGTTCTTATATCGTGGTACCGACCCGGCCACTACGAGCACCATTTTCAGTAGTATTTCAGTAGAGCGGTGTAACTCCCGTTTAAATAGATGTAACTCACGTTGATAGAAATGTAACTTGAGTCAAGTTGAAATGTAAGTTGTCTAAAATGTTGATTTCAATGTGAACAATGAAAAAATGATCTTAATTGCCTAATTATTTTTTTGTAAATAGTGAATATGTTTTACGGAGTATTTTTAATATATTAGGGTTAAAAAATGATAGTTAAAAAAAAAAATTTGATCATTAGTAGAGGTTTATTTAGTGGTATAACTCGCGTACATTAAGATGTAACTCACGTACATTAAGAGTTGAAATGTAACTATCTGATATATATGTTATAAACATTGATTTCAACGTAAACAATAAAAAATGATCTTAATTGCCCAATTACTTTTTGTGAATAGTGAATATGTTTTTTTAATATTAGGGCTATATAAAAAAATATAGTTAAAAATAATAATTTTTTTATCATTATCAGGATTTATTTCGTGGTGTAACTAGCGTACATTGAGATGTAACTCACGCACAAACAAATGTAACTTACATATAAGAAGATTTAAATTCATATAATATCAAATATAAACAATGAAAACAATAAATTTAATTGTTCAAAACATATAATGTATTTATTTTTAACATTAAGGCCATAAAAATGTTTCTAAGAAAAATCATTTTTGTTTATGGATGTTTTTATTTGACCAATAAATGAATTTATGTTATTTTTTATGGATAAATTTTGTTTTGAGTGCATGGATAATCATTTGTTCTGATTGTTTATTTGACCAATGCAATTGTGGCAGACCCATATGCACTACACGGTATAGAGAATAGAGACGAAGCAGTGATGGACAAACGGTGTGTGATATAGAGAATAGAGACGAAGATGTATAGAAACGGTGATGGAGAAAAACAAACGACGAAGCAATGATTGGAGAAGAGTGCCGATTGGCCAAAGGAGAGGGTTTTCGTAATTTTTTAACAAAAAATGACGTAGTTTTGGGATCGGTACACCTTGAGGACGGTGTCCCAGTCTCACGGTATAATTTGCCACGTAACATACTCCGTATGAAAGATAATAACACACTGTGAAAGATATCTAGAAAGATGAAACATTTATATACAACGATTATTTGTTAGGAATAAATTTTATAAAAGAATAAACGTTAGTGTTTAAATTGCTATAGCACCTTCTATTAAAAACATTAATTTACCAACCACTTAATTCACGATTAATTAGAATACCATATTATATTAAACTTTGAGATTTTGTAAAAAAAATCAATTATAGATTAATAAATAAAATACAGTACTGTATGAAATACTCCGTAGGGTTTTAGGAGACCCGACACAATAAAAGTGCAGTGCTTTTTAAATAATATCAGTACTACTGTACTAGGTAGGATACAATGAGTCAATGACAAGCGCTGAAAAACATTTGAATACTACCGAGTAGAATACAAAAACTTCCATTCCTTGCCCCAAACTGAAAAACATTATACTACCTCCACTTATGGTTGGACTCGGGTCGGGCCACCCGGCCCGGCCCGGCCCGGCCCGCTACTGTGCGGGACCGGGACCGGCTCGGTTCTCGGGTCAGGGTCCAGGTCGGGCCTAGGCCCGGGGGTAGGGCGGGACCGGGCTCGGGTCTCAAATTTGGTGAACCGACCCAGCCGGGTCGAGCCCGGGCCAAATTGATTTCTTTTTTTTTTTTTTTCATTTTTGGGGTTCCACCCGGGTTTGGCTTGATGAGTAGGATGGGTTTGGGGGGTTGGGAGGGTGGGGGTGAGGGGGGGGGTTGGGAGGGTGGGGGTGAGGGGGGGTTAGGAAAGCAAAAAAAAATCCAAACCGGAGGCCCGGCCCGGACCGGACTCGGTGGCTACCCGGGTCCACCATTCCTGAACCGCCGGCCCGGCCTCGGACCGAACCCGGTGGCTACCCGGGTCCACCATTCCTGAACCGCCGGCCCGCCCGGGCCTAGGCCCGACCCGGACCCGGTCCGGACCCGAGTCCACCCCTACCTCCACTCCACAAAAAGAATCACACTTTCCTTTTATGGATGCTCCAAAAAGAAGTTCTCATTTCTATAAAAGGAAACTACTTTTAACAAAAAAGTCAAACTACTCTTACTTTTTACGCACTTTTTGTTTGATTTGACATAAAGCAAGAGTATACTTGGAAAATCAAAACAAAACTCTACCTTACATAAATATGCATAAAGGTCAAACTAAGAACTTGTTTGCCGGACGAGAGGAGTATTTGAAGTATTTCATGGGCGACGGTGCATTGTTTAGATCTAAACGTCAACTACTCCAAACCTCAAAATCACAAGGTATGCATGTTAATCTAAACGTAATATTATTAACTTACTCGAACAGCCTTTGCCTTGATCAAAATTTAAATTTAATACAATCCGAAAGAGCAGCAGAAAAAGAATTGCACTGACCTATATAACATTCTGTGCAAAATTGGCAAAAAAATAAGAACCTTCTTTTATTTGAAAGAAGAACACTAATTAGTGCTCAATTTTCAAATTTCCGATTGGGATTTTTAATGGCAGTTCCGAACTCTCAAACTGCATCCAATCCTTTGCACAAAAAAGGGCCTGAAGAGTAGACGGTTTCAATGAGCTCCGAAACCTATCAATGTGTCTTTTTACCGTATCAAAGATGGAATCTGGAAGAACAGTTGAGACTGGAATACACAAAATATCCGATGCCATTTTAGAGAGAATTGGGTACTTGACCTTGTTCATTTCCCACCAACCTAGAACATCAAACTCTTGAACTTGAGGCAAAAGAGTTTCTTCAAGATACTCATCTAATTCTGATTTCATATCATGATGGCTTTTTGAGAAATCGTTGACGTACACATCAAAATCTGAAAAGCAATCTCCATTAAGAAGACTTTCTCCTTCTTGGTATGCCTCTGGCTTTATACCATTCTCAAATGCATCTTCCACAAAGACGGGTGGAGGCAGTGATTGCACAAAGTAGTCAAGAAACAGTTCATGTAATCCGTCATCAACAGTTTTGATCCAAGAATCTGCTCCGTCGTTATAAATCTTTTCAAAGCTAAACACAACATATTTCATCTTGAACCGAGGATCCATAACTGCAGCAACAGCTAATACAAGATTGCAATCTTTCCAATATTTGTCAAACTTCTCTGACAATGGTTTAGTGAAAGTGCTAATGAAATGATCGTCACTAGAAGCTGAGCGCATCAGCTCACGCTGAATCATCCACACTTCACGAAAGAATGTACTGGACATACGGTACACTGGGGCAGCTAAAATGATGGCAGAATCATGAAAAACTTTCAGATATTTGCACAGAACTTCAACCTGCTTCCATTCATCCATCGATATGGTTACTTTGTAATCTGGATCAGAAGTGTCTAAGCAATAAAATACTTCTTTCAATTCAGAAGCTGCCATCAGCATCTGATATGTAGTGTTCCACTTCGCATAGTCATCAATGGCTAGTTCCTTCGCGCTTGGAACTTGGAGCTGCTTTTTCAGTTCAAAAAACTTTTTCTCATGGACATCTTCTGTTTTCACATACTTCACACTTTGACGAACTTTCTCAACAATCTGTGCCATAGACTCTAAGGCATCCTGTGCAAGCTGACTCAAAACCCGAGCAAAACATCTACCAATTATGAGCTGCCCGTCGAGGATAAGGTTCTTGATGGACAGAAGACTCCTTAGATTACCCCTGACAGCTTCATTTGCAATGGACTCATCAACGGTCAGAGTAAACAGCTTGCTCTCAAAACACCAGTCAGTTAGGCAGGTGGACACAGCATGACTGAACGAATACTCTAAATCAGGGTGAGGTACAGTGATTACATTAAGAAGGCGTCGATGAAATTTCCAATGGTGATCGATAAAATATCCTGTTATAAATAAGTATCCCACACTCCGATCTGAAGTTCTCATATCCAATGTAAGACTTGGACGCCCAGGAATTTCACCAAGGAGGTTCAAAAGGTTCTGCTTGCATCTAGAATAGATGTTCATAACAAGCTTCTCAACTGCATCAACACTTGAAATGAAGTTCGGTTGAAGAGTCCGTGCAAATTTAGCAAACCCAGCATCTTCTACAATTTGAAGTGGGTAGTCATGCTGAATTACCATTTTAGCAATCATATAATTGCATGAGTCCTGATCAAAGGACGGTGGAGTTGCTCTGGAGTTTTTTCTTGCTCTAAAAGTAGTACTGACACGAGCTTGTGAAGCAGGATTGTACAGAGTCACTTGATTTTTACCTTGATTCAGACGATTGGCAGGGCAGATACCCAAGGAAATGTGCCGCTTAAGGTGGCTGGTGCCTGCTGATTTCGTGCCAGTGACATAAGCGAATGATTTTTTGCACTGGTTACAGAATGCTCTTGTACAGTCACCATTGATAGCTACAAGTGTGAAATGTTCCCAAACAATGGATTTATTTCTCCTGCGTTTATTAGATTGTGTCTCTGAGATGGCCAACACGCTATTATTTGCAGGGACACCCATTTCTAATTTCGTTCAAGTACAAAAGAGGATTTCAGCAAAATAAACTACAGCTCTGTTGCTGATCAATGTTCACAGCTCCTAATAAGAACAAAATCTATATAATATAGTAAAACACAAAAGTCCCAAGGAGGGAGGACAAGGGGTGTTGGGTGGGAAAAAAGTACATAGAAAATAAGGAAGTTGCACCGTTGCATGGCAGCAGTTTTCACGCCAAACAATTAATCACTTAATTAAGGATTATTGTATTTCAATTGTTCTAGAACTCTTTAATACTATGGATGCACCTACATATAAAATACCGAGTGACATAAATTAATAACTTGGTTTTCTTATATAAAAATTGTAGAACTTATATTACGGATTAAATTTGTAATAAGCCAAAATACGTAGTAGAGAAACTACGAGAATTTTATACTTTTTTCAGTATCATTTTGTGATCAAATTTGACTACTTCCATATATTTGCCTTCAACCCTACTGCTGGTACTTAAGTTTCATATTACTGGGTAAATAAATTGAAGGGTACATAAAGCTTAGATTATGAAAACAAATTCCACATAAATTGGATTCCTTAACAAAATACGAATCAAAGAAATATAGAAATATGCTCAATTGAATACGCTTTTCATGTTTAATTTTGATCACCAGAAAGACGACATCCAGTTGTTGGGTACAACAATTAAATAATAATGATATAAAGTTATAATGAGTCCAATTATTTTCTAACCAAAATAAAAACCTCTCAAAAAACAGATATACAAATAACCCACTTTTAGGCTAACCTATTTTTCGAGTGATTTTTGACCGGCAGAGTGGCAAATTTTCTGAAAATAAAAACATTCTTAAATTTCTGCCATTTTGAGATCTTAGAGCATCTCCATTCATGATCTCTAATAATCAATTTTTTCTATGATTCTTACCTTTTAAATACTGTTATATAATTAATGTTTAAATAATCTCAATGTTCGTTTATGTATCCTAACCATCATCTTCAAATAATCCGATTTTTTTTGTTCTTGCATTAACTTCTATTAGATATACTTTTTACATAATCTTAAAATAATCTGGATTCATATTTTGATCCCGGATTATTATAGCAAATAATCTCATTAAATAAATTATGCCTCTCAATGGTGCTCCTTTAAAAAATCTGCCACGCCACTTACTTAATCTCTTAATAATCCTACCAATGGGGATGTCCTTGGGTAAAGATTTGTTATCTTACATTTTTCTGAATGGTTCTGTCGTTCTGGTGACGCGTGTGGGAAAATCAAAATGAGTTTCTCGGTTTTCTTAGGTTTCGACATACAAGGATATTACTAATTTAAGTATTTAACTAAATATTTATAAAAAACAATGAACTAAGTTATTATTGAGCTAATCAATAAAAGAGGACTGAAGAAATACCGGGACTACGAATGGTTGGATGTGAAAATTGAGGGAAGCGCCGATTGACTGAGCCGCTGAAGGTTGAGTGGCGGAGAGCAGGCGACTGAGCGACGGGAGTGATGTGAGTAGTTGACGACTGAAGAGGCGTGCTGCGGTGCTGATGATGTGCTGCGTGTTGGCGTCTGACGGAGGATGAAACCGCGAAGAGAATTGGTGACTTGGCCGAGGGTTTAACCGTTTGCTCGGCTTCCTCAAGCCTTTCATTAATATTGGACCTTTGGTTTGTTGGACAAAAAATATTGGGCCTAATATTTTTTTTTTCATTTTTAGGGCTGCATCCTCGTATCTATTGTTTCTCAAAATTGCCGGTTGAACTGAGTTCTAGAACCTATTTCTACTTCGGAGTTGGGGGGAGATCATGAACTGATGAAGAGTCATATCTGTAAAAAAATCAAGATTACGAAATGAGGAAAAGGTCAATTGAGTACATCAACTTGTACGAGGTGGAGTAAAGAGTACATTATATTGCATTTGATCTTTTTAAGTACATTTTAGTATTAATTGAGTACATTTGTTGGATTAACACGTTAATACAGTTGAGTTGGCTAACGAATGTCGAGTAAGAAGGGATAATGGACCGAGGTTATGGTGCCGACCTTCACGAAGTCGACAAAAAAGGAAAATTGACCTTCGGAAGTCGATCTGCGGGGGGCGTCGGCCAGCAGGGGTGCATCGAACAAGGAGAAGTCGACCTGTGGGGGATTGACTTCGACCAAGGGGAAGTCGATCAAACGACTGAGGGCTAGCGTTGACCTTCAAAAAAGTTGACCTATTAGCATTCTGTTAGCCAACTCAGTCGTATTAATGTGTTAATCTAACGGGTGTACTCAATTAACATTAAAAACTCAAACTTATGTACTTTAAAAGATCAAATGCATTATAGTGTACTCTTTACTCTACCTCATTACGAAATATAAGTCAATTAATGAAACACAGTAGAGAAGGGTTGTATTAATCGGAAAGGTTTAGTTGATCGGTGTGCGTCTAGAGATGGATGGTGGTTTATTTATGTGATGTAAGAATGTGGAATATGTGTGTTTGGTAAAGAAAGAGGTATTGCGTGGATGAGAAATAAGAATAATCGTGGAGAAAGAAAATGATATATTTGAGTGTTCCTTTTTCTTATTCGAGTTAAAAGTGTGTAATACAAATAGTGTATTTCAGATTTTTAACTTGAGTTGAACTAAAATAAGATTTCAAACTATTGGTGTACAATCAATGTTTAATATTGTAAGAATGAAACTATAATCTTTATTTTAAATCTTTTTTATAATTTAAAGTGTGCAGTAAAGTTTCATATACTTCTAACTATATTAAAATAAATCAATGAGTTTGAAATAATATGCATTTTTTATGAATGATGTGAGAGTTGTAACAAAGGAAATTATAGTTCTAGCACAAAAGATATACTCCGTATAAAATAGTATCATTAGATGGCCCAATAGTCTAAAAACTCAAACAAACAAGATAACCCAATCGTCTTTGTTTTACTATAGTAGACTGATCACTTTGAAATCCTATAATACCTAAATCAAATCAAACCAAACGAGATCATATTAGATTGGGTCTGACAAGAATTAGACAATACTAAAAATGTGTAGAAAAATATCTATCACACAACATAAAAAGTGAGGAAATTGACGTAGATTTTTTTGTAGGGATTCACCAAAATCCATAGAGGATGTGATAGGGATATGTTAAATTTGTGTCAAAAACATTTTGGCACAAGCAGTTTGGCATAAAACTTTCAAATTTTCAAAGTAATCAACTATTTGACGCGCTCGTAATAAGCGGCCATCTTTTGATTTGATCGGAGGGTATGTGGTTGGCTTTTGTGAGACCACTTTAATGGTGATTGTACTCTTATTAGGCTAACCGTACCCCGGGGGTGAAAAAGTCATATATGATCTCTTCACCCCAAAAAAAGTCTCCAACCCTTGTATATGAAGGTGCCATGGTGGGTATAGGCACTCCATGAGTGGCAATTACTTACCTTATGCACTTGCCTATTTCTTGAACGCAACAAACAAAAAAGGCGCATACGGCTACCGCATGAATGGAAAAACATGGGCCCATTATAAATAGAAATCCCAAATTTCTTTAAACTCTAATAATCTTTTTATTTGTACTTTAATGTTTTACAAAAATATATCAAGATTCATAACTTTTTATAATCTTTCATATGACACAAATATTGCATATATAAAGTTTAAAAAATATGAAGTTTCATCTCTAGAGATTTTCATATTTATTTTTTAAAATAAATTCAAGTGTTAAAATTATGATCTCATAATTTCTTTTTAATGGATTAAGACCTCGTGGTTATTTTATTTTTACATCTTTCAATTATTATTTTTTTAAAAATATGCCTAAAGAAACAACAACAGAACTTATACTTCAAATTTATTTATTTTTACATCAGAATGTTTGACTTTTTTAAATCATAATTATTTGCAAAAAAGGTTAGAAAAAAAAGTTGATGTATAATTAAAATTTGTAAGGCTTTAATTTAAAAAACTTTACTTGGTGAATATACTGAAGGTGTTGGATTGCAGTAAAAATTGAATTGACAAAGTGAAAATGTATAAATTGATGAGAAATTTGATGTATTGACTAAATATGATTGCGGTTAGCCTTACATAGGAAGTTTAACTTCCCATTATAACTGCAACCAATAAATTTTCATTAGAATGTTTCAATCTTCTTCATACTTTCATAGTTCTTTTGAATTATTTGTGACACAAATTGTATCCCAATTTGCTAATTTTAGATTTCAAACACGTCACATACAACACGAATATTCAAATCATATTGCCCTAAATACACCAATAGTGAATTTTGGTATTCAAGTAGCGTGTTTATATACTTGTCGGGGTGAGGCTAGGAAGCAAACCTCATCCATCTCTTCTCTCTCCTTTTCCCTCATCTCATTTACCAAGATCTACCTTGTGTTTTGTCGCTGTTTGCAATTCATCATTGTATATGTTTTTTTCTCAATAGTGTCTTTTAGTTGTGTATTCCCTATCAATGTGGTCAATCGGGCAGTGTTTTTTTGTTTCTCATTGCTCCCAAGACTTATTATACCTAATCTTTCTAGGATGTTGAATTTAGCTATCAACGGCTTCATAAGTTATTCGCTCGTTTCTAAACCACTGTCATACTATGAGAGAAAGACATTGTTTGATTGAATCTCATTTCGAGTGACTGATCAAACCGATGATTCAAACAACTTTTTTCCCAATAGCTAGTTAAACTTAAGATTCAAGTGATTCCTTTTCGAAAGTTGCACAAATCGAAATTTCTATTATTTCCTTATTGGTTGATGGTGAAAACGGGTTATATGTTTATTTTCTTCTGTGGTTTATTTGTAATACTTTTTTAGTCTTAATCATTGACCTAGAATGAGGAGTTTCTATATTGATAGAAGTTATGCGGTGAGCACTGACTTTCTGTACCTAAAGACGGTCATAGCACTGTACGTAAATATACACACAGATATACCACATACATACGTATAATATCACACACACACATACTTTTGTATTTATAGAAATATAAAAGCATGTGTAATACGACACACATTAAAACATACTACCACCGTTCAAATAGACTTTGAATTCTTTGAATTAGGTGAGAAATAAGAATAAAAAAATTTGTGTGGTTGAAGTTTGTGCAGAGGAGAGAGAAATGAGCAGGACCACAAATTAGTTACTTTAATAGGAAAGTGATAAAGTTTTTTGGGACAACCATTAGTTACTTTAATTAGAAAGGGAAAGTTGGCAAAGTCCAATGGGAAGGAGGGAGTATATAGTGTAAGCATCTCAAACCCACTACACAGCAAACCGTATCCACGCAACAAAGCTTTCGATGATTCAACAGAACACTCGTTAAAAATCTAACAAAACCGGCCAAAAGAACACATATACGTAAGCTTTGGCCGAACCAAAATATATGCCTATATAAATAGGCTTGATTCTCTTGCTCATCATCATCATCATCACCCCAGTGAAGCAAAGGCTCCCCCCACCTATGGTGGGGTAAAGGGGAGTCGGTCGGATGTACGCAGTCTTACCCTTGTACTGAAGCACTTAGAAACTGTTTCTGGATGACCCACTGTGAAAATTGCCTCCAAAATTGCATGAACCGAGTGATGTTTCATAACAATGGAGCGCAAACAGTTCAGTGAGCCATTTTGCCTGATTCTAATGCTCTGCTAAAAAAACGTCCGAACAAACACATACACATACATAAGAGAAGAGAGGGATGGGAAGAAGATCATTGTATGTCGTCAAAGAAGTCATCGGCCGTCGCTAACGAAGGAGAGGAACGTTCTCTCCGGAGAAGAAAGAAAAGCCACCAAGATCAGATTTATTGGACTGCACTTCATCGCCAGGCCGACCCAATAAACTTCTCACTTCCGTCACCGTGGTTTGTACATGCCATTCTATCACGGATTCAATTTTCGATGGGTCAACAGACACCACTTCTTGAGTGATGATACATTGATATGACCCCAAGAAACCTACCCGATCTTCACAAATTGTAGTACCATTCTGAGATGCTTTTCATGATCCTTCCGTGTTCCGGAGTATACGAGTATATCGTCAATGAATACTAGTACAAACGTTCCGAGATATGGTTGAAACACACGGTTCATTAGGTCCATTAAGTATTACAAAAGCCTATTGAAACACATGTACAAGAAGAAAAGTCTACCACTCTAGGGTTAGTGAACTATTACATTCTTTAGGATCTTTCACTTCTATAGCTAATCTTCTTGTAGCCTTAGGTTATTGGGTTGTTTTTGTGCTAGTTATTTTATAATTAATAAATAAGTTTATTTCCTCTCTCAAAAAATGTAGCATGTTTATATTGAAAAAATATTTTTCCTTAATGGTGAAATATTTGCCCACAAAAAATATTTTTCCTTAATGTTTATATTAAATTAATTTTTTTTATAAAGTGAATGAGAAATATATAGAATAAAAAAGGAAGAAATAACGACCATATATGGTGGCAACAATTAAATATTGCTTATTTATAATCAGGGGTGGAGACACACGGAGGTTGGAAGGGGCATCGGTTCCCTAAGGGTATGTTTGGGAGTTTGGGGGGAAGGGAAGAGGAAGACTTTGAAGGTATGTTGTTGAAAGGGAAAGGGAGGGAAAGGTGGGGAAGTCCTTTTTTGTATTTGGGAGTAATGAAATTGGAAGGAGAGAGTTTTTGAAGGAATTATAAATAAAATCACTTTGAGATATGATGAATTCAAATCATTGAGTCAATATGCATTTTTAATTTAGCTTAAATGACCATCTTGTTAATTATCCACCAAAACCCTCCAAATTGGGGGAACTTAAAAGTTAAGCATTTGGAGGGTTTTGAAAGATTACAAAAGTCTTCCAAAAGCATCCCCTCCAATTTTTTAAGCTCCCAAACATGAAAAGTAGGGTCATAAACCCCCATTAACCTTCTCCTTCCCTCCAAAACCCAACTCCCAAACACACCCTAAGAAAAAAAAATGTGATGTATATATTGTTGGATATATTCGTCGTCGGAACCTGCAAAACAATATTAGAAAAATAACACGGCTCGAGACGCGTCAAACGCTGTCCTAAAGAAAGTATCTCCGGTGACCGGAAATCTTCCCCTAAGATATAACGAGCCCTTCGGCGGGTTTGCCGGACACAGAATCTACGAGGATATATTGAATTTACGTAACCCAACAGCGGTTTAAATATATTAGAACATATGCTATGTAGTATGTAGTATGATGATTGGCAGAAGTAGTTTTACGTGAGTAGTGCTCTTATATAAAAAGCTGAGTAAAATCATTTAGCCATGTAAAATGTGTTCTATTGTGAAGCACTAGCATCCCATATACTACTTAAATAATAGTACGTGGTTTGCTTAGTTGATAAAATCAAATTGAAGTTGTTGGACAATGTTAGGTGATCCATGAAGTGAGGAGAAAAACATGGACAACCATGCATCCTTATGCACGTTCCATGTTACTCGTTCAACTCAAAATGAGTCCTACCGGACTTAATTATTTGTTCAAAACATTAATTAAATATAAAACTACTTAAAGTTAATTATGTTTATTTGAAATACTCAAAATTCCAACAATCACCCACATATTTCAAATAAACATTTGAAGTGAAAATTAATTTTGAAAATCTGCTGGATTAACGGGAATGAGACTTTAAGTCTGGTGCCCGAAGATTATGAACCAAAACGAGACGATTAAGTCTTTACAAACCGAGCTTCTGGTGAAACATATAGTTTCTATGAACGAGTAAGCTACTATGGTAAGTCAGTGTCTTAATGACCATGTCTCGCCCCCCACGATTCCTCACGTTAACGCCGTGGTGCGCCTTTAGGCCGTGCGCGTGCTTTGCATTCTTGAGTGCTCTAGAAGCGTTGTCATGCTTCATGGAGGCGGCCCCACCTCACACTCATATAGGTGACCTCATCAAGTGTGTTCTGCACTTAACACACCAACCATAAGGCTATGAAAATCATTAAGAGTTCTAGCTCAACCTCACAACGAATGCAGTCTAGCCTCACCCTAGAAATGAACATTTAAAATAGGCTAGCGGAACAAATAGAAGACTTGTTATTACCCATATGAACGTGCTTCATGGGATCTCCAATCACACAGGTTGGGTTACAATCCCTATTTGTTATCAAGTGACAATTCATTTCCCTCGATGCATAAAATATAATATCCTAGGATTTCGGCCAAATGAGACTATTAACTCCACTTGTCATTGTTAGGATGTTTTTACTTGGACTGTAATTTGTTGGTCTGGTCTGGTCTGGTCTGATCTGGTCTGGTCTGGTCTGGTCTGGTTTCTTTGTATTTTTATAACTATCCAAGTCTGGTCTGGTCTGGTCTGGTCTGATCTGGTCTGGTCTGGTCTGGGACGAATTACAGTCCAAATAAAAACATCTTTATATGACAACTTTAAATAACATATACTACTATTTCATATGGTATTGTAGTAGCTAGACGTCTATACCACAATATCATTTCAAAATTACATCATCATTGTATCATTATAATACAATGGCTTAGCTCACCAAATACACCTTTTGTGTTTCCATAATTTTGCTCAATCTTCCGATTTTTAAATCGGGTTTCACACAGTTTGTTAATTTAACAAACTCACAATTTGAGCATCAAGACTAATTTGTACAAAATCACTAATATAAGACTAAAATTCATGTCTTATATTCAAACCGAAATAGTTACGCTGTTGTATCCACGATTCTAGGGGATATTTTCATCCTTTCAAAATGATACTCCAGTACTACGTAAAATGTAGCTTATATACCCCCACATTTTGAATATGCCGAGTATTACATTAAGCTCATTGAATATTATAAAATATTACTAATTATCCAAGAGGAATCACATACGGTTGAAAGCATGTGAATATTACGCGACGTACGTAAGCATAATTCAAAATTAAAACAAAAAAGATGTTTAAATTTTGGTGACAACTCCGGTACCCATTTAAAAAATGGGGTACCGTACCTATCACTCAGTCTGGTACCCATCTAAACATACAATTGCACGGCTCTAGGCCCCTAACGTGTCCATGCAAGTAAAAAGTAATCTAAAAGAATTTGCCACTCAAGCATGCATGGGAAAGAATAATCCTTTCACGTATCATGTAAGCTCTTTATAACACCGGGTACAATTTTTATTTTTAGCAATCGGTCCAATCACAACTAAACCCTCTTAAGAGAACACGGAATACAAAATCAACATGACAACATAACATGCGTTATCTAACATGCTGGTTACGTAACAATCACGTGAATTGCAAATTAATAAACTTTAACAAATGCAATTTTAAAATTTTTCAAGAAACTATTAACACTAATAATAATATCACAATTAGAAACAGTAGCTAGGATCCAAGGATACTCATATAATATTAACCATGACAGCGTAGCAAAAATAAATAAATAATAGCAATGGTAACTAAGCTTTCAACGCATTAACTTTCAAAGTGCAGGCTTTATTCAACAGAAAAACAAATATTGATCATGATGCTAACAACGAACTAAAAATAAATCTTCAAACCAAACGAAAAAGAAATGTAGCTACCCACTTATTAAGCATCAACTAGAAAACATATCACTTCAACACCTCTACCACATTCAACATGAAAAGCCCTTGATTACAATAACCTCTTCCAATAAATATATTGTTTTTGGTGAGAACCACCTTGTCGGATTGAAAAGATGCCTTGACAACAGCTCTTCCTAAGAGTGAAACGGAGATTAGATCGGTCCGTATCTCGGGCACATGGAGTACGTCGACGGGTGATAATGTCTTGTCGGATGTGAGTTTGATATTGACATACCCCTTTCCGTGCACCTTGGTTGTTCTAGAATCACCAAGATGTACGTACTCCTCTTCATCCCCTATTGGTGTATAGGAGGAAAACACATTTTTGTCTTGGCAAATATGTCTAGTAGCTCCCGAGTCTACTACCCACTCCTTCACATCCGCCACCAGGCAGGTTTGTGAAACAACCACAGTTATTATTTCATCACCTTCAACCAAGTTTGTACTTGGTTTGGGTGGCTTTTTGTTTTTCACAAACGCCCTTTTCTGACACTCACTAGCATGATGTCCCGGTTTCCCACAAACATAACAGTCACCCTTTCTTTTAAAACTTGTGGTTTATTTATATTTATTGTGATTGGGCTTGTTATTAGAATGATTATTTCCATACCTTCTTTTGTCCTCCGTCTCCACCAAGTTTGCATTTGAAGTATATTCCTTTGCTTGACACTTGGCGTTTCCTTCCTGTTTGCGTCTTCCTGTTTGGACTTATGTCGTTCAAAGTTGTGTTTGAGGTCTCGTCTATATTCCCTCCAGGACTCCGGCAACTTCTCAATGAAGATCTCGGCGATGAACGGCTCCGGAAGCTCTATTTGGACGCTCTTAAGATCATCCAATAGTGTCTGGTACTCGTGAATTTGCACCTTGATGTCTCTATCCTCTTTCATCTCCCACTTGTAATAGTTTCCTATTACAAACTTCTACTTGATGGTGTCCTCGGCCGTGTACTTCGCTATCATTGAACTCCATATTTCCCTCGCCTATTTTTTGTGCAATAAGCATCAAATAACTCGTTAGATAAAGTACTAAGAACTATATGACGGCAAATCTTGTTGGCGTAGGTCCACTGTTGAAGGAGTTTGATGCCTTTGGGTGAGTTGTCTTTGGCCGGCATGGATGGGTAAGAACGTCAGCAATGCCATGCATGTCCAGCGTTGAGAACAGGCGTTCTTGCCATCTCTTGAAATTGGCCCCTGAAAATACTTCTATTTTAGAAATATCGGGAAAAGGTTTTGCATGGACTGGTTGCACCTCAAATTGCATGTTAACATGCGAGTCGGCATTGGCGGCAGAAGCTGTAACTCCTTTTCCATTGGGGGTGTCCGGAATCGGGATGACTTGAGAAGGTGTATCCGACGCCATAATGATACTTTCTTTAGATTGTTGGATATATTCATCGTCGGAACCTGCAAAACAATATTAGAAAAATAACACGGCTCGAGACGCGTCAAACGCTGTCCTAAAGAAAGTATTTCCGGTGGCCGGAAATCTTCCCCCAAGATATAACGAGCCCTTTGGCGAGTTTGCCGGACACAGAATCTACGAGAATATATTGAATTCACGTAACCCAACAGCGGTTTAAATATATTAGAACATATGTTATGTAGTATGTAGTATGATGATTGGCAGAAGTAGTTTTACATGAGTAGTGCTCTTATATAAAAAGCTGAGTAAAATCTTTTAGCCATGTAAAATGTGTTCTATTGTGAAGCACTAGCATCCCATATAGTACTTAAATAATAGTACGTGGTTTGCTTAGTTGATAAAATCAAATTGAAGTTGTTGGAGAATGCTAGGTGATCCATGAAGTGAGGAGAAAAACATGGACAACCATGCATCCTTATGCACGTTCCATGTTACTCGTTCAACTCAAAATGAGTCCTACCGGACTTAATTATTTGTTCAAAACATTAATTAAATATAAACTATTTAAAGTTAATTATGTTTATTTGAAATACTCAAAATTCCAACATATACATGTATGTATAAATATTTATAAGCGGTAAAAAATAAAATGAAGTTTAAGCTTTGACATTCCAATATAAATATTTCTAATGCCCCGGCCTCCCTAACCTACCAATCTAATATTTCTGGCTTTGCCACTATTTATAATATTACATAATTTTTTTGTTTTTGAAAGAAATACTACATGGATTTGTAACTAAAAAAAAAGTCCTTGTGTCCTCTTATGCTGACACAAGTCAACCGACTCCCAACGAACCACCCGACCGTTAGTTGACCCGCAGAAGGGGTTTCTTCGCCAAAAAAGAAGACAAAGAAAGCTCCGCCCGTCGACGCCGTCCGCAATGATGAACATGTACGGAGGACCCTTCTCTCTGTTCGACTTGGGAATCACCGATCCCGCCACCATCGACTCTTTATCCCCTTACTACAGTTATCCTTTCGCCGCCGGAGATTATCCCGGACTGCGAGCCCAGTCGAATAATTCAGCTGGTGATAGGGACGCCATCCCTCCAAAGCGCCGCCACGATGGCACGTCTCCACTTCCTCTGGGCATGGACTGGAGTCCGCCACCTCCGATTTGGGTAATGAATAAATGCTACCCCAAGTCATGCTCTTTAATTGCTGTTAGTCAAAGATGCGATTTCTTAGCTATGAGGAGCTAGTAAGGGGTAAATTGGTGTTAATCTGTTGAAGAGTTTATCCAAACGTTTACCAAGTATGAAACGACAAACTAAATATATCAGCAAATTATGTGAGAAATAATGACAAATATATGACTGAAATGAAATATCATTTCCTTTTTTATGTTTGATCCTGGCATCAGACATCAGTCAGTAAGGTGAAGTTACTTGATTTTATGAAGAAGTGCATTATAGCCTGGTAGTAGATAAGTTAAACTTCGTTTCTTCTAACATCTGATCCTCCTAAGTGCATTGGCCAATTTCGTACGTTCTTTCAATACTCATTGACACCATCTTCTGATTTTAGCAGTTTGTTGGGCATTCAGGTTACCTCGCCCGTAATGGTTTTGACTTTTGTCCCATTCGACTAGCTATATGCGTACTTCTTATGAGAAAAGTAAAATATACGGGTAGAAAATTTCTAGGGTGAAAGCGAAACCAGATTTATGCCTTCAATGAAACTCACTCCTTTCTTTTTAGTACAGGATGGACAAAACAGTGTGTGGCCGCATGACTATCACTCGGGATGGAGTTATTGTGTCACAATTCCTTCTTGGACACTTTCTTCTGAGTCCAGTAATTCAAAATCCATTGTGGTAGGCACAGCCCTGAATCTTTATGATTGAAGTACTTTAAAAATAATTAAATTGAATTTGATTGAGAAAACTCAATTCGGGGTTATGCTAGATTTTTTTATAGTATTAGAACACAACATCCAAGCCTTAATCCTAAAAGAGTTTAGGGTCAGCTACATGAATCGTCATCAGAGTTAAAAATGTAGTTACATTCATGATATATGAAGGCATTATGAAAGCTTCTAAATGCGGCATTGTGAAGGTGATGGAAGAAAATGATTAAAATGATTCATGTTTTATGAATTCTATTTATTTTTTTTAAAAGTTAATATTGGTTATGAATAGTAAATTAAGTTTGCAAGCTGATTGGATATAGGACTTTGTGCCCTTGTGGTGTTGTCTTCCTTCATTTTGAACTTGAATCAGTACTTTGAAACTATATTTCCTAGCTTTTGATGCAAATTCTTTGCTTCCTCTGATTCTAACAGCTTTACAAGGTTATTGTTGGAATACAATCACCACAAGGAATTACAAGTACAAGGGAAATACTGCGCAGATTTAGTGATTTTGTAACATTATCTTCTGATGTGAGTCAGATTTCATTAGTGCATTGTACTTATTAGTATGTAACGTAAGGCATTTCTCATGCAGTTATTGATACTAGTGATTATTGTAGCATTACTTGATGTATCATCTATGTAGCACAGAAATTCTCGGGAAAGAATACGTTTCCGTTTGAGCAAAATTTGACGTTTCTCGTTTCCTGTTTTCTCAGGATTTTCGCGTTTTTGTGCAACTTAGTGTATCATCATCAGTCCCTAATTTCGAGTGCAGGTGTGTTTGGCTAACTATACATGATTTTCAATGAGCTCTTCACTTTTGTTCTCTACAGTTAAGAAAGGAGTTTCCCAAGAAGAATCTTCCACCAGCACCCCGGAAGGGGCTATTGAGGATAAGAGACAATAATCTACTGGAAGAAGTTAGTAGTAACTTTTTTTTGAGTTAATCATCATCATATAATATGTTATTATGTGATGCTATATGTCAGCTCAGTTGATGTTGTGTAACAGAAAAATAAAATCAACGGGGTAAACCGTTGTCCAGATAATCAATGATAAAAATACTGTTGCCCAGAGACAAAAGGCTAAACTCCAATTTTATTCCCAGATCCACAAGAATGAACCCTTACAAGGGGTATAAAGAGCCTCTTGAGAGAAACCCTAATCAAGCCCAAATTAATTAAACTCTAATTAAGCTCAAATTAACTCAACTAACTACTCTACTAATAATAGGCCCAAACTAAAACATAACATTAACTTAATAATAATAATAAAACTATAACGATAACCTTAACTCGGCCCACGGAAGTGGGCCCAAGCCCGGTCCCGTCCCATGCTCTTCCTGTTCTCTATCAATCCATCCTCCTTCAAAATAACCTTGTCCTCAAGGTAGAAATCTCACAGACGGGGAACTGAAATTTCTAGACATAGAATAGACTGGAAAATATCCTTCCTCTCTTTCCTGAACGCTTTCCTGACCGGTTATTTCATAGTACTCATGCTGTTGGAGGTACAACTCTTCATCCTCCTCGGCTATCATTACCCGCAGTTGCTTAAAGGGACAGTCATGCCCCGGTGTAAATGGTTTCTTACACCTAAAGCATAATTCTTTCGCCCGCAATTCTTCAAACTCTTTCGGCAGAAGTCGAGTGAACTGAGAGCGTGTCGTGGGCTATATGGACAGCCCTGACTTTGTCCCCGGAGGCTGTCCACTATCTTTCGGAAAGTTGCTACTTGATCCCTGTAAGCTGCTGCCACTGGCAGTCAACAGTGGACCCACGTTTGCAATTAAAAAGGTGCTGGAACGTACCCCTAAAGGATTATAATTCGAGCTGCCACTTCCCCCACTTTGGACGGACAGATTATGCTCCACATCGCGAGCTAATTCCATGGCCGTCTCCAGGTTATTTGGCCGTAATAAGCGCAACGAACTTCGGATTGCTTCCCCAAGTCCACTCATGTAGTAGCCCAAATAATGATCATCGGTCAGTCCCGGAACTTGGCTAGCCAATTGAAGAAACAAGGTATTGTAATCCTCCACAGACCCAGTTTGTTTGACTCTGGACAGTCGTTCAAACCTGTTCCCCTAATATCGGGAATCAAATCTGGCAACCAGGGCCTGTTTGAAATCTTCCCAGCTTATGCCGGGTTTGCGTGATCTCAGCCAGGTTACCCAGTAGAGCGCTCCACCTTCTATAGCCACCTCAGCGGCAGCCACCTTCTTCTCCGGTAGGGTTTCGTGTAATTCGAACTGTTGCTCCACCCGAGCTATCCACCCGATCGGATCTCCCCCATCGAATGCCGGTAGCAACGTCGGAGTTGGGTTGCACAGCACTCTGTTCACAGGCGGCGCTGTCACCGTGACACTTCTGACTCCAGCCGCTGCGGCGTCCGGCGAAACAGGTGGCACCAGTGCCTGGGTCAACGCGGCCAGCGAGGCAGCGATTTCTGCCAGCTTTGTGCCGTGATCTTCAAACGTCTGGTTCATCCGGTTCTGCTCGACTGCCATCCGGGTTTGCTCAGCCCCTAGTCGGGCCACTTCCTCTCCCATGCGAGTTTGTTCGTTCTCTACCTCTGTTAGTCGATCGTTCTGAGATCTCGTCATCTTGGCAGGACGGGATCCGGCAGGTCGGACCAATTGTTGTGTAACAGAAAAATAAAATCAACGGGGTAAACCGTTGCCCAGATAATCAACGATAAAAATACTGTTGCCCAGAGCCAAAAGGCTAAACTCCAATTTTATTCCTAGTTCCGCAAGAATGAACCATGGCAAGGGGTATAAATAGCCTCTTAAGAGAAACCCTACCCTAATCAAGCCCAAATTAATTAAACCCTAATTAAGCCCAAATTAACTCAACTAACTGCTCTACTAATAATAGGCCCAAACTAAAACATAACATTAACTTAATAATAATAATAAAACTATAACGACAGCCCTAACCTAGCCCACAGAAGTGGGCCCAAGCCCGGTCCCGCCCCATGCTCTTCCCGCTCTCTATCAGTTGAACAATCTGAAACACGGGTCTTAACTTTTTCAGTCCTTCCAGAAAAGCAATGTCATTTGAACTGGACTCGCTTACAGAAAAGTGGTGTCATTAAAACTTAACTCGATTACAGAAAAGCGATGTCATTCAAACCGGACTCGCTTTTCTGTAAGCTAATCCCTAAACCTGAGATAAACTGAATAGGAACAGAATCATCTTCTGATGTCAAATGTTTACCTAATCTAAGTTGTCACTTTGATTGAACGTAACTGGATGACTTGATGCATGACAAGATGTTTATGTCATCACTGAAACCAGTTTAAACAATGTAAATTGATGCTTTTATGACTTGAGAGAGGTTCACTGTAATATACCATTGAAACTTCACTTGCAAGTAGTGTGCAAAGTATAGAAGAATCCATAATATAATTATTTATTACATACTGAAGTGTGAAAAGATAGAATGGTTTAGGCTGAATTCCATGCTTTATTTTATAGTATGTGATGGTATTTATACAGTGGTGTAGGGAGTGTATAAGGAAGCTACTAATTACAATAATAACTACAAAGATATGTAATTGAAGATTTTAATAAATATTCTAATAAATAATTATAACTGATGACTTCTAAGTAGTTAAATCGCTACTCGGTAGCAACTTGGTCAAGGGCCAAGTAGCGAGTAGAACCTAGTACTCGGGATTACTCGGTGACTACTCGCTCCTATATTAATAATCAAATCTATAGTAATATTAATCTTAAAATTTTTAGATTTGAAAAAAATCCTAATGAAGAAGAAACGAGAAAGAAGATAAAGCCATGGAGTAGAATAACTTACCTAGAGATGAGGAGGAACCACTGCTGGAATGAGAGGATGTATGAAATACTTTTAAACATAGACTTTTAACGTTTATTTACAATTTTTAAAATACACACTCATTATTTATAAATTCCATAATGTCCCTCTTTAATTAAAACTTTTCAGATTTAATAAAAAATGAAATTTTTATGCCTAGCCAAGTAACTCGGCGAGTTGATAACTACCCCGAGTTGAGAAACTCGCCCAGTACTCGGCGAGTAACTCAAAAATATTATACGGACCGAGTCAAGTAGCTAATCGACAAGGTCACCACCCGAGTTGTGAGTACTCGCCAAGTACTCACCGAGTAGATAACCCACTGATGTAATGAATAATTATATTCTGGATTCTTCTATACAAAGTCCTTGACTGTGCATCTCATTAGCTTGATTGAAGTTTGTATTACCGTAGTTTTGTGTGTTTCCCTGCGTTTTAGCTATTTGTTTGGTACCTTTTGTTACTCAGAAAGTAAATTTGTTCACTTGACTTGTTAATACGGTTTAATCCTTTCAGTTTCACATCATTGAGTATAACTTTGAAAACTAGCAGTACAGTAGAACCTCTAAACACGAGTACTTTATACTCTGTGTAACAATAACCTCTATTTCATATTCAATTTCCGGGTCCTGAATTGGTTCAGTTAGAAATAAAAATCAACCCTAGTAAATTGTAAGTACCATATCAAGAACATGATAAACCTGTCATGGTTTGATCTTTACTCTATTGAATAGTACAGAAGATCTTTTATAAAGTAAAATATATTAACATGAGAATCTAAAATACCTCTGTTCACCTTTACTTGCCCCTCTCCCCTTTGGGAAATCATCATCATCATCATCAGCATCATTATCATTACCCCAGTGCCGCAAAAGCTCCCACGTAAGGGGGGTCGGATGTACGCAGTCTTACCCCTGCACAGAGAGACTGTTTCCGGAAAGCACCATATAATTTGAAAGGAGATAAATATCCTATTTTTTATTTTCTCTTGTCTACTTTGTTCACTTTTTATATACTATTCACAACTTCTGCTTCACTTTTGAATCACCTTTACTACAATTTTACTCTTAATTTTGTGAAAAGGCCTAGAGGTGCAACTGAATGTGAGTGATATTTTAACATTTTGGGGCTGTTCAAGTGGTGTCGACCCAGGAAACTCTAGTTCGAACCCTCGGAGAGTCGGAGGCGCAACTACTTCACTTTTGAATTACCTTTACGGCTTTACTACAATTTTACTCTTAAATTTTGTGAAAAGTCCTATAGGTGCAACTAAATATGAGCAATATTTTAACCTTTCGGGGTTGTTCAAGTGGTTGTTCAAAGGTCTCGGGCACCAGCATTATCAAAAAAAGAAAAAAGTGAACGGATATAGATTGTTCAATGTATAATGCATGGATAGTGAAACTAGTAATTATGTTTGAAAAAATTAAGTACTTAGACTTTTGATAACGCGGGAAAAATACTGAGACTTGAAAAAGTAAGTATTTAGACTTGGGAAAAACTGGCTCCTTCTTGATGCATTAGATTTTACAATCCAGCTGTCCTCCCATATTTATAGGAACAGAAAAGGTTCTTTTTATATCTAGTTTTATTTTACTTCCTTCTCAGCGAAGGCACCTATTGGAGGATTGGATGACAAATGTGCTCTCTTCTGACATTGACTTGTCTAGAAGTCTTTCTATAGCAATCTTTATTGAACTAGAAGCAGCAGTAAGGTCATGTATGTGCCTCCTTAGTATTAATTTCGTTTTTTTTCTGTACTTAGAAATAATGCTATTGAGAACTCTCTTAATGTGATAGTTTTCTTGCAGATTTTAATGATTCAAATAATAGCATTCCTGATAAAGGAGGCTCATCTGTCGCTGGCGCAGTTCAATCACTCCAATGTTCAAGTGTGCTTACTACTGATGAGCAAAGTAAAACTCTCTCTACCATGAGACAGAGGCTAACCAGCACAAAAAACCTGGAAACTGAAGAAGATTGTGTACAACAGAGTGACAAAGGAAATGTGCAGCAAATTGTTTCAATTGAAAGGGAGAAACTTACCAAAATACTATGCGATATGGACGAGCTTAGAAGGAAGTGTTTGGAGATGGAGGTAAGCCTAAAGCCTGAACAGGTCAGGACACCCCAAGAGAAAAAAAACTTTTCTACCTTCCATACACACCCATCTGCGATTCATTGAATCTCCATTTGAGTTGAGTTACTATGGTAATGTTTCAGCTCAAGAACATGCAAAACCACACATTGGAGACAGAGTCCGATGAGCTTGAATCTCTTAGAAGTTCACATTCAGAACTCACGCAGGAGCTCGGAGTATTGAAAAAACAGAAAACTGAATTGGAAGTAATGTACTTTTTAATAAGAATTATTTATGATCCTCCACTTCTTTTTTTCTTTCAGAAGTAACTTTTGTGTTGCTGGGTCATTTAACTCTTTTTTAACTAGAGTATTTTTCGCAGGGGAAACGTTCACCCCCTTTTACCAACTATGCTGCTAATTCTGTTATTGATATGTTTGGGACTAAGAAAATGGCAGGGAAATGAAAAGTACTACTCCGTATAATAGAAAAAAACTGTTCAAATGAAATATGTTTGATGAAATATATATCTAAAATGGATTTATAGAGTTTAAGCAGCTTCTTTATTTTCTCACACATTGTTTTTTCCTCCAAATTTCCTGTTTATCTTCTTTCCCTAACATTTTCTGATTTCCGATCACACCCTTTATGAACAAATTATTTTCAGGCAAATTTGCATGAAGAAAGGCAAAGTAGGAAGCACACTGAGGCTACCAACAATAAGCTGCTGCTGCAGTGCATGGCTATTCGCACTCGGCTAGAGGAGTGCAGTATTGATTTCCATGTTGACAATGAGAATGATCTAATCACGATGGATACTCCATCCCCTTATGATACACTAGCTGCATATGATGATCGAATGGGCTTTCTCCTTTCAGAGGTGAGCTTTTCTTCGCCATGCACCATATGATTTTGTCCATGTACAAATCAAAACAGTCTTATTTAAAACAGTATGTGGCTTTAACAGGCAGAGCTCCTAGCCCGAGATGTGGAAAATGCTAATAATGGCAATTCAGGGATAAGGGATGATGTTGATTTGAGAAAAATGATCACTCACTTGCTCACTGACAATGCCAGATTGATGAAGCAGATGAATAGAGTTATTCGATGTGCTCTTTGTGTGGCCCAGAAGTCTGAGATAGACGAGGAAGAGAGTAGCCCAGAAAAAAATGTTCTCCACTCAGAAGAATGAAGTTTTTGAAGATGGTGTCCCATGTGCGTGATTTAGGCAAAAATAAACTCTATAAAAATGCACTTCTAGCTAGCTAGTTTATTTTCCAGGGCAAGGTGTGTCTCTATCATTGGCCCTTGTGAGTTGACAAAATAAATGAGCAACTGCAGAAATGGCTGCGTCATAGTTGAAGAAAAAACTTTGTCCAGAGCCGATATAGGTGAAGTACAATCATGGAATTTTAACTAATATTTATAATAATACCGTGAAAATTATTATTGGTACCTCATGAATTCATTCTGTGTTTTCAGTTATTCATTGGCAGCATTAATATTATTTTCAATATTTTGTTTGTTTATTCATTTACTTGATCTTAGTATGGCAAGCTTAAAAAAAATCATCAGAGTTTTATAAAGTAATGATTTTAAAGCAAAAACTCACTTCAATGCATCTACATAAGAGCCCCCCTAAGGAACCATGTGGGCACCCTTTAATGTGTTTATTATTATCCATAGGGATAAGTTGGTTAGAGATTGGTTTGGTTGTGCTATGAAATTCCCCATCTAATTCCCATTCTCTAGATCAACCCAAATGCTTGGTGTTCATTATTATACGTTGGTTTTAGCAGTGGCACGAAAGCTAATGTTGTGAGACACATGAATGCAAAAAGTATTGTGCCTAAGAAGTTCATCCCGTCAAGTGAAAATAAGGGCAGAAATCATTATAATCATCTCAGAATGACATCATGATTCTAGAGTAGAGAAAAGATGAATTTGAACTCACATGCCCATCCCATCCCCAACCACCTCCTTAATATACTCACGATCTGACCCACTGACAACGAAATACTGAAGGTCGGTTGCATTCTCGAAGTCCTTTTCCTTTTGAATGCCAAAACTTTGGTTGTTTTAACCACCCTTTCACAAAATGAGCAAACTTGAATTCTGGTACATGCATTGTGTCCCGCTTCTCTTCAACAATCTCAAAACAAGTGCTTTGTTTATTGTTAAGGCACATGTTGTTACTCTGATTTGCTTCACAAATATTTATCCTGAAAAGAAAAACTTCATAAAGCTCTTGCTCAAAACTACACATCCTGAATCTGTTCAGAATCTCATCACTCTCATGCATATGCAGCAACCATCATTTGTCAATTGTCATGTATGTAGCTTTGATCTTACACTGAGTATTGATCGGGGTGATCTTCCTCACTTTTGGATGGTTGATTTTCCGTTTTGCATTCAATTTCTTCAATCATCATATGCCGCTTAAATTGAAGCTGCAAGTTAAAACAAAAAAAACATGGAAAGATAGTTGCAAATGGGTGAGATAATGAATTAAGTTCTTAAAACCACAAAAGAATGTAAATTTCCCTTATAAGCACTACAAAAAACACCCTTCTATGTTCTCTTATACATCTCTATAGTCATCTATACTATGTGCAAGCCAACCCTTGAATTAATAACATTCAAATCAAAACGATTTGAACATGTGTACACGATCTTTTATTTGGGATTTCCTACATGTTGCAACTTGCAAGTCATATCCTCTTGTCTTATACAATTATATATACATATTGCAGAATAATAAGGTAATAGTGTACTAGGTGACTTGTAACAGCGTTTGGGATTATATAATACGATCAATTCACTTAGCATGTGTGTGTAAGTTCAGTTTGACACTATAAATGTTTGTGGTTCACTTCTTCATTTAAACACTATTTCAGGATTGTGGACTATGGCACACAGTGGTGTGGGTCACTGTGGGAGAGCATAGTAAACATATAGAAAATCATTTTCTTCCAGATAAAAGTCATTAAATTTAATCCTGAGCATCCATGCGAAAGCAATAGCATATAAAACATTTGATGATGTTGTGGTGACTCCAAATGTTGATCTATGATATAAGAACATTGCTTGTTCCACTTGAAGGGCAATACAAAGGTGAAGTATGTCAAATCTGCAGCCCACTAGCTCGCGTCATCGTCATATACACTAATGTACACAAGATAATAAGGGAAACTCAAAATCAAATGGTATATGATATGCATACGTAACAAGTTTCACTAACCTGATCACCATCTTTGATCCCTAAGCTCCGAACGCATGCCTTGTCATTTGTGAGCTTCTGAGCTGCATAACACAAACAGAATTGGCTCCATACGAGTGACCTGTCATGTCAACACTTACACCATTCATAACCAGCCGGTTAGCCAGCCACTTTAACACCTCCATTTTAATCAGAAACCCAAAAGTTCACTTTACGCTGCATAACTATCATCCGTACAAAGAGCACGCATACATATAGATAGAGGCACACATTCAGCTGATATATCACAACGGCACATGTTACTAACTTACTATCAACTAAAATCATTAACATTCATTTATACCATAGAATTATCTCTTCACCCTCGCATGAAAAATGGAAAACTTGCTCAATAGCTAACTTCAGGTCCGCCACAGTAGCATTCCTTGGGACATTAACCGCTGCACAAACGATTCAAATTAGAGAAAATACACACTGGATGTCACAGGATGATATAACTCCAATAGGTATAAAATAAGTATTTCACTAAATCGAAATGAGTTTACCAAATGAAGAGCCGTCTAGTTTGAGAACAGAGAGCTTGAGCGGCTCTGTAGGCAGTTTCTGGTAGCTGGGGCTCCGAATGATAAACACATTGTAGAGCGAGAGTGGGGCCCAAATGCTGAATCTGCCTCGGTTTTGGTAGTCAGTGATCGACATCACATTCGTAGCTTCCACGCTCGAAATATTTCTTGACGCAGGCAATTGTGTAGGAACCAATAATCATCGCTCGTTATAGCTTTCCAGTCTCTGGAGCCTATATTTTGCAGTTGATGAGTAGAGAGAGGAGCAAGCAGAAGATTGCTGGAGTCTAGAAGAAAGAGGCCGGCGGTTGCACTCGCAATGTGTCCTGACTTTCAGTTATTTTCCCAAGCCAACATTCAAGAGGCGGTTGCACTCGGTGTTCAAGAGAATATTACATAAATATTTTAAGAGAATATTACTAAAATAAAATATATTTACATAATACGACTATTCATGTGGTGTTGCGGTAACTTACGTTCAAAACTTGAATATGAATTACTATGATTTCATTACTACTCTAGTCATTAGTCATATTTTTGTAAATCATCTTTATTTTGGTCATATTTATGTAATTATTCCTATGAGGAATTCCGTAACAAATTAAAACCATTTGTGTTTCAATTGAGTTTCGATTTGATTTAATTTCAGATTTAATTTATCAAAGTGATAATTTTTAGGTTCAATTTAGTTCGATTTGATTAGATTTCATATGTTGATTGTTTTGTTTGATCAAGTTCTATATTTTAGAAAATAAAATGAAAAATACTAATTCATCTCATCTTCTTATATTTATTATTTAAATAAAATGTGAGGAGAAATACAAGATAGCAATTATAAATACAAGATAGCAATCATATAATATTTTATATGATATTATAAATGTCAATCAATTATAAATAACTCCTAATTTATTTTACTAATAAATTAGCAATGACTAGCATCCTTTCAATTATTAGAAAAATATTCCACAAAAAAGTTTATAATCGATTGACATTTATAATATCATATAAAATATTCAAATAATTTAAATGAGTCGGCAATGACAATATTGCAAAGTTAATAATGTTATTCAAATTAATCATATAAAATGTATAGTGTACTATAGCTTAACTAAAATTGCTATAAATGCAATGTGCTATTATTATCGTCAAATATTTTTTCATACGAATAGAGTACAAAATATAACAAATGGAATTATCTCTTAATTTTATGATAATGAATGTATGAAATGGTTAAGAATTAAAATTGTATATGCTAAATATGTTTTTTCATATCTAATTTTTTTTATCCTGAAGATGAAGAGTAAAGACAACATAAAGTAATTTTACAAACCACTCCAAACCATTTGGTTTGAACAAATTGCTATCAAAAGGTATATTTAAGTCAACTCAAACCAAACTAAAGTACAGATTTCCATATTGGTTTGGTGAAACCAAACCGTTTTGCCCAGCCTATATTCACATTTCCTTACGTAAGTTGTCGGTTTCATCGTCTAAAATTATAAACATAATGACTACCGGCTACATATGATCACCTTTAGTCGATTCGGATTGGATGCTTCCGATCAATTTTGGCATGGTTTTACTGTGAACATAATCGATCATCAATGACATGATCGTTGAATCGGTTTTCACAATTTTTCGATCAATTTTCATAGATTGGTTTTGGTCGGTTGTGGATCGGTTTCGATTTATCGACTTTGATTAGCCCCAATGTCAAGGGGCAGTTGCTATTAGACAATTTAATTGTGTTAGAAACTCGTAAAGAACTCCTAATGAAAAAACAATGTTGCAAAAGAAAAATGATTTAAAAGAATTTTGTGAAGTATTTTTTATACATTAGTTAGTAAAAGTTTGCACTACCTTAGAAACGGAGTTTCAAGTTTTTGCTTCAAAAAATTAAAAGGCAGTGTTATAAAACAAGCACTTCTACTTAAAATTAACTAGTTTAAAGCTAAATGGTGAAAGTATTGGTGGCCAATATTGCCTTTTATTATACAAAAAGTTTATTTGTAATCATACATTTCAACTTTTAAATTTTAGAATTATATTTGTTTTAAAACTATCAACTTTTATTACGGATCAATTTTCATTCAAATTTTCTAGATTTGAGGTTACGATTGAAAACAAAATGGTAAGCTAAAATAAGGTAAGTGAGGAAAAAATGTTTTTGGTAAGGATTGAGAACTATTTCGTATAATTTAATTTAATAAATGATACACACACATACACACATACATACATGATGCATTCATGCATGCATACGTACATACATATATACATATATACATATATACATATATAGTGCTTTTTAGATGAGAAATAAAATTAATTTTGGCCATTGGTAATTATGAAAGAGATCAAAGTTTAAGTTAGAAGCACGACTGCGTTTTATTAATTATGAAGAGCTTTTAATGGAATTATTGCTTTTAGTGGAATTATTGTAACATATGTGTACCAAAATACACAAAAGTGAATATGTAGAGCACTAAAGTGTATCACAATATAAAAATAAAAGTTTTACTTAAAAGTTATAAACATTTGGCAATATGCTTTAACTTACACTCATGAATTCACTTTTATTCATTAACTACCCACTTTGTACTATAAACATTTGTTGTGTCGTATTGATGAAACGGTTAGTAACACAAGAGGGGGGTGAATTGTGTTTCTGTGGAACTGTGGCAGTTTCTCGCACAGTTCTAGTGTGGGTGTAGGGAAATGCGAAATAATAAATACACAAGAATTTAACGAGGAAAAATCCCTTGGCTCATAGGGATTAAAAAACCTCGACCTCCCTTGGAGGAATTTGAACAACTTCACTAAATAGCCAATATGTGGTTACAAGATAAATCTCATAATCTACCCTTGAGCCACCCCAACTCTATCCTCTCTAGGAAGAGTTATGCTTCTCTACCTTGCGGGTAGAGAGCCTCTCAGCTTTACAACAAAGCTCTCACACGCACGATCCCAAACTGAGGAAGCTACATTTAGCTTTTCTTCGAAAACCAAGTTACAAGATAAAGAAGGGAAAAGAAACTCTATCTAGAACTTCGTGCGTAGGTTCAGGTGTCTTGGACTTGATAACTCTTCGTAAGTCTTTCTCCTTTTGATTACTCTCTCAAGCACACACTTTCTCTTGATCTTCAGGCCTATACATAGTTGTCTTGAGGCAGACCGTTGAGCATCCTTCCTTGAATAGTTGTCTTTCGAATTTTGGGTCTTGCCTTGATATTTTGAATTACATTCCTTTAATGGCTTAGATTATTTGTGCAAAGATATGCTCTCAATATCAAATATCCGTATAAGCAAGGAAGAGTATCATGCATAGGTGACAACCACATATATTAAGAGATTTCTCTTTTTAACCATAACTATGCACGATCAATCATTCAATTAGCAATCATTCTTAAACATGCAATGACTCCTTTCCTTATTCCAAGATCCTTTCAAGAAGATATTTATTTAATATTTAACATATTCAAAATAAGCTAAAGGACGCATGATTCTTGTAGTAAAAGCAATGATCCTTTCCATAAGCAATCAAGCCATATTGGTCAACTTATTAACGTGAGTGATTAAACATGCATGGAGAGAGATTTCAATTAAGTCACATAGTATTAAGGATACTAGGGCATAGATTTGTTATGCATGCATTCATCACTATTCATGCTAATAATATTCATAGATCTAGACATAGTTTCCATCTTTTGGACAGATGGGAGTTCTATCCTTTGGTTCACCTGCACGGTTAGTTGTACAATCATAAATGTCTGTTTGGACCGTAAGATAGTTCTATTCCTTGTTCCTGTGAGGGTTTACTCATCAACAAAACTAAGTATTCAACAAATTCCCCATTTTTGTTGATGACAAACTTTAGGTGCCAAAATATCCTGCAGATTAGACAAAATATAGCAGTAGCAGTTTAAGTGTAGCAGCAAAATGGAGGCACCTGATTATTTCCCCTTTTTGGCATCAACCAAAAGGAAACGGAAAATAACCAAAACAATGCCAAAGATAATCAAAGTAGCACCCTCCTACCCAGAAAATATAGCAGTAGCAGTTTAAGTGTTTTAATAATGTTTTTTTAGTTACTCCTCATTAGAGGAGGACACAATCTGTCGTCTCATGCCACCGCCACTAGTGCTGAGCTTCTCGAAAACATCAATTTTAAATGCTTGAAGCTCACTCCTGATGATTCCCGTAGCCTCTGCTAGCTGATCCACCCTACCAGCCAGGCTAGTGAGGGTTTCAGAGATAGAGTCAAAACGTCGAAGTATAGTGCGCTCCATTAGGTAGAGTTGATCCTTGACCGAGAGCACAGATTGCATAGGATCTGTTGAGGCAACGGGACAAGGTTTGGAACTGCTTTTGGGACGTTTAGCAGGAGTAGGGACAACATTTTCTCTGTAAATCAGTTTGGAGTCTTGGATGGTGATGCCATAGTTTTGTAGGCCTCGGTTGTCAAGAGATTTGTGAATGATTTGGGAAGGCAGGTTATCAACAGAAATTCCCTTTTTGATAAAAAGTTTCATAAGAATAGGACCAAAGGGGATTCCTATTCTCCTACTGGAGTCACCGATAACAAACTTCAGATGTGCGATGAAAAGACTAGGGAGATTGATATGAGTCTTTGTGGCAAGAAGATACATGTAGCCTGGTTCTAGATAGGACGTGGTCTGTCTTCCTTCAAGTTTGGGCACCAAGTTAGACTGAACAAAGTAGAAAAGTAATTTGTGGATGGGGGACAAGCTGCCTACTTGCAAGGAGGATCCAGTAACTGAGGGATCAAAAAATCTTAAGGCTTCTATTTGAGAAACTGTAGAGAGTGGCCATTCGTTTTTGTCATAGGGACATACCCCAGCGGAAGGAACATCTAGACACTTTCCTAAATCCTCACTGTCAAGGCGTAACTTGATATTATTGACACGGGACACCAGGACGCCCTTCATGATGATTAGATTAGAAAGGAATTCAGAGAGAATTTCAGAGGAAACTTGACAACAATTTTTGGAATCAAATAGAAAGCTCAATTTTTGAAAAGTGATTAAATCAACAAACTCAGTGGTCTGGAAGGAGAATTCATCCAAGGGAATAACAATCACCTTAACGAGTCCACGTTCCAGGTAGGTCTATTTTAGGCGGAGAGCATCTTCGTCTACAACTTTCCCCATTTATGGATATTTTTTGGTGGAGCCTTTTCCAGAGATGATGCCCTCGGTGATGGCCCTTTTCCGGATGTACTTCCATGGCAGAACTTTCCCTTCGCGAGTTAATGGTTTAGAAGGAGGGAGTGGGCTTGCTTCTCGTTCCCCCTGAGATGAAGAGGATTTGTTTTCTTCGGTCATTGGTGACTTTGGAGATGAT